ATTGTGGGTGTTTGTCGCTTATGAACAATTAATTTGCCAATTACAATGTATCTCTCTGTTTTTTTTAAATTAGCTTTTACGGTGATTGTGTGGTTTGCTTGCATATTACGTATAACATCGCATACATAAAACTGATTTGTTTACTCCTTGCATGCTAATAGAAAATTTCAAAAAACAGTCCACAATAGTCAGCGATAGCACAGTACACAATTACAACAGTCCCAAAAAACCAGTCAATACATCAGTCCATGTAACTAAACAAAAAAACAGTCAATACATCAGTCCATGTAACTAAACAAAAAAAAGTCAATACATCAGTCAATACATGAAATAAAACTACGACCAACGAGGCCATGGCCTATCACGTGCCTGACGTGGAGGTAATCGACGCCTAGACTGAGCCTCTATAGCCTGTGCAAATGCGTCAAGACATAGCTCCTCGTTGCCAACCGCCTCTGGAACATGAGCTGGTGGAGTCGTGCAAGCTATGCCAGGTGTAGAAGCAACATATCCACCGCTCGCAGATGGTATGAAATCATACTGTGCACTAACATGTGTAGGCCAATCGCCTACTCCGTCTGTGGTCAAGTCCAAGGTCTGGCACCACTCCGTAACGTCTTCCATATTCCACTCCTGATACTCTGTACCACAGGAAGGATCCTGAGAGACCGGTACCCCACCAGATGCGCATGCCATGGGGCTAGCCTGATAAACCTGCTCACTCTGTGTAAACCCCTGGCCATACGATGGACCTGGCTGGCTATCATAATACTGCGGCGGAGGAGGACCATGGTACATAGGCTCTGGCCCGCCTGCTTGGCTCAGCACTGGCGGTCTAAACCAACCCTGCATATCAGTGCGCGGTATAGGAGCAATAATAGGATCGGGTATCGCTCGAACCGATTCCCGTTGTCGTCCTAGTCCACGCCCCTCCTGCCTGCCACTGGGCACCTCAATGGTCAACATCGGCTCCTCAACAGTCTGCGTAGGTGGAGCCTCTGGCCCTGGCTCCTGTACTCGTGCCGACTCTCTGAATATGGCAATAATGCGACCAATCTCGTCATGGACCCACTCTAAGCCAAAGGCGGGGAACTGATCCGCAGTAGTCGCAAAATATAGCATCTCCAACCCATCAATCTATAAAGAAATGAAACAACATGATATAATTAAAAATTTATAAACACATAATCATATTCATAATTGAAGTGTCAAAACTTACTGCTCGTCCAACCCTGGCAGCTTTCCTGGCGACAAACCGTTTCCCTCGTTGTCTGTACCAGTGTAGGTACTCATGGTTCGGGGACATCAACCCGACCAGTGCAGGGGGAATACGTATGGACGTATCCCTGATCATCCATCGATGTATGAAGGGCCTCAACTTACGCTCTCAATTATCATCCTTCTTCCCTCGCAGAGTTAGATCATGAACACCCTTAAGCTTTCTTGGTCTCCGCGGTATGGGCTGATCGAAACCAAATTGTCGCATACATCGATCCGGTTGAGCGTACTCAACTGTGTGGAAGCAAATGTTAGGAGTAATGGCCAACCATAAGTACCGCTCATGATCAGATACAAACAATGCTGTATGGTACTTTCCGTATGGCTGCCACACAATCTACATATAAAAAAATTAGTAATTCAGAAAACACAATTACCACCAACTATAATATGTAAATAAATAAAAAACAATTAATAATAGATATCACAAACCTCGTCTCTATAAAGCGTGTCAAGGTTTGCCCGATACCAAGACTGCTCATGTGGCTTAAAGGGAGGTAGGGAATTAAATCTGTAATGGAATGTGTAAACCATTATCAGACTCCTAGAACACGCCCTACTTTGGCCGTGTCTTGTTCAGAAGCTCACGCCCCACATGGGCGTGTCTCTCTCCTGCCGCACACGCCCTAACTTGGGCGTGTTTCCTTCACAAGCTCACGCCCCACATGGGCGTGTCTCTCTCCATCAGAACACGCCCCATGTGGGCGTGTTTGGGTGCTATAGATTCGTAATTTTTTGCAAAACGACAACTTATTCGTAATTTTTTATTAAAAAAGTAATAAATTAATTTTTTTGCCATGCATCGAGTATATCTTCCACTTACAAATATGTCTTCTTTTTTATTAAACCACGATTTTATAATAAATTATTTATTTACATTGTGAGTAGTAGATGCATCGAAAACTCGATATATCCATAACACTAAAGATATTCTCCCAATGTAGGGAATTAATTTTTACATTTGTTAAGTGATTTATTTGCTGTTAAATTTGGATTTGATATTTCTCATATTGTAGTAGATACAAATTATTTCTTACACATACATAAAATGTATGTGTGGTCCATGTAAAGTCATATAAAGAGAAGAAAAAAAATGAGCTTTATATAATTTTATATGTGTGTAGTAGATAATTTTATCTACAACAATATAAAAGACATTAAACTCATTAAATTTTCATGTTGGATTATTGTGTAGCTTTGTTTTGGGCCATTGGCCACTTGATTTTTTTAAAAAAGAAAATTTTATTTACTATACTCACATAAAAAAAAATAATGAGTGGGTCCCCTAAAGCCCCTCCCCAAATTGAGAATAGTGAAAAACATAAAAATAAATTGTAAATGTTGTTTTTGTTTTCATCTTGTATCAAATAGGAAAACACTATAAAATAGTATTTTTATCATATTTCGTTTTTTTTAAATTTTTACCTATTCAAACAAATATATTTAGTTATATTAACAAATTTTGACAATAAATTTTTTATCAAAGAATATAAGGATATTGATGTAAATTATATTCTCAATATAACTAAATAAGATATAATATAACTAAATTAGTTATATTCCAGTTAAATTTTTTTAAGTTATGCAAACTATTAAATATAAGTGAACAAGAATAACCGACCCCTTTTTCAACAATATGGAACTTTCATCGAAATATTGGAATTGAAATTAAAAGAACCTCATAAAAAAGTGTCGTATCTATATAGAAAGAACACGTTTTGGCCAGGTCTGTTTGAGATATTCTTTTTGTTCCATCATTTGGACTGTGTCAAATTACACTTGGTCTGTAGGTGTTGCTGTTTGAAATTTTAAATATGGTATATAAGAGTAATCATTTTTTCAAGTGTTTTAATGCTGAATTTGATTGAGCATGACTTTTTTTTGTAAATGCAAGGGCCACACGAAGATTAACTACCAATAATTTTCCGAACCTCTTTCATTTTAGAGATTACACGTGAAGAAATATCGAGTTTCAAAAGTTGATTGTAGCGCATACTTAACTAGCCATCAATACAAAGATTGGCCCGAGATCGAGCATGACTTTTTTGATTAAATTTTTGAGTGTAAAACCTTTCTTTTTTATGTGTTGGATGAAGGAGGTATGCTTTTAAATTGCCTTAAGAAGGTTGATTACTGGTTTCTTGTTTATGCTGACACAACAGCCTGATAATTTTTTTGTACAATTGCTGACAGAATATGAGCTTTTCAGAATGCTATCATCACATCACAAACCATTGACTCTCCAGCGCTCCGTGCCACAACCATGAACGGCAGTTGGGAGCAGCAAACAATGGCAGACAATTCCACCCACCTCAATGCATGCCAGCGAGCATCACGCACCAGTAAATTCTGTTTCTGATATGTTATCAGATAGAAATATTCTTACTACCAAAAAAATTTACTATCAATCCATTGTCTATTTAATCACTGTTGAATTATTATTTTATCTCTCTTTATAAATTTTTCAGATTCTCCTTCTTTGATCAAATGCTGATTAGATAAGTAATGGATTGATAGTGAATTTTTTTGATAGTAAATATATTCCTTCTCATATTATTATGTTCTGTTTCTGCCTTTTAATTTTGTCAAAATCATTAATTGAAGGCTAATTGAATTTGTTGCTGATTTATAGGGTTTATGTCCCTAATTTCCCAATATGGTTTACCTTGTCTAAATTATAGTTTATAATTATTATAAAAAAAGGAAAATGATATGCTTATCACAAAAAAAGTTTACAACCTTTACAACTAACTTAATCACCATTGATTTCCGTCAATCTAACGGTTATAATTTATTAAAAATTATCGGATAGTATTTATTAATTAATTATTAATTTTCATAAATTATAACCGTTGGATTGACGGAAATCAACGGTGATTAGGTTGGTGGTAAAAGTAACAAATTTTTTTGATGATAAGTATATTTTTCCCTAAAAACAAATTTTTCTGATATTTTAAGTTTGACTTATTTTTTTTATAAAATAATCAAATTAGTATATAAATAAAAAAACCCACAGCAAAAGAGAACAGAAATCGCTGAAAGCAACAGAATTAAGCCCAGACCGTGTGCGTCAACCAAAAGCGGTTTAAATCCGAGTAGGAAAATTTTAAGAAATTGACAGAGAACTTCACCCGGAACTGCCTTGTGGCATTAGTGTTAGTCCCATCATATATATATATATATATTCCTATGTTGATCATACTCCTAAACAATGAAACGTTTGGATTTGTATTTAGCATAGCTAGAAAAAAAAAAAGAGTGTGGATTTTGTGTGAAGGAAAGAAAGTGTTTGTGAGGTGAAATAGTGTTGGGTTTTTTTGTTTTTTGTTTTCATTTGATATACATCGTTATTTTTTATTGTTCAGTAGTTAAAAGGAAGTGGGCCGAGTGAAGTCAGAAAAAAAGAAATTGAGCCTGATCCAATGTAAGATGGGGGGGGCTATTACTTTAGGAAAGAACATGGACATTTATTTAATTAAAAAGGAGGAATGAACGCAGAGCGTTGATATAATATCGAAGGGTAGATATGAGAGACAGGTCACGGATCCGCGCCTGCGTGAATGCAGAAGAAGCAAGGCGCTCGATTGTTGGCGCTAAAACGAAAAAAAGAGAATTGGATTTTCCCTCCTTTGTTTTTTTCATGACACATATATTAAAAGAATGTTTGGCATTATGAAATGTGAAGAAGAAGAAGAAGAAGAAGAAGAAGGATACGATAGGGAATGGCATCGCAAGCGAGAAAGAGAGTTGATGCCCTAGTTCGCGGCAAAGATGGCAGTGCCTTTGCTCAATGGTTTGTTTCTCCCTTTTCTTCTCTTACACGTCCAATTTCAATGGATTCACATTTATTGACATCACTTCTTTCTTTCGCTTCATTCTTTGGCATTGTTAGGTTAGCCTTTGTATTCGCTGATTGTTCTTTATTTTTGTTTATTATTATAAATTTCCTACTGCAGCGAAGAGTGTAAGAAGGATGTTCCGGTGGCACTCATCAGCATGCACAGTTGCAGTCTCGAAGCTAAAATCAAAATGAATCTCGGTATGATCATTTTTCCCTCTCATAATCTTGTCTGATTTCTATCTATATTCAAAATTACTTTGTTGTAAATTTGATTTTGTTTGGTTGTTCAGAGGCTCAGGTTGTTGAACAGCCTGCTGAAGTCAAGAAGACAGAGAGGTGAATTTTCCTCTACTTGCCTCTCTCCTTCTCTCTCTCTCTGTTTAATCTGTTTGTGAAATTTTAACATTGGTCCTATTAACTTCTCGTTTGGTTCTTCTTTTGAAAAATTGTGTAGGAAGAAACCTACGTGTAAAGAACCAAAGGCAAAACGGGCCAAAGTTGAGAAGGGGAAGAAGGTCAAGGATCCTAACATGCCCAAGCGTCCTCCCACAGCCTTCTTTCTCTTCTTGTAAGGCTTTTTCTGCTTCCCTTATTTGTATACAACTTTTAATGATGTTGTTATTCCATTCTGCTCTGGAGTGTTTTATTGAGGTAATCATCTGTTGCAGGGATGGTTTTAGAAAAACTTTTAAGGAAGCAAATCCCGATTCTAAGGATGTTAAAAGGGTATGTAAAATTGGGTTAAGTTGAAATTTGATTCATGCTTTGTTAAGTGAATTGAATCCCGGATTCATTTACTCTTTTGAAAAACCTTAGGTTGGTAAAGAGGCTGGTGAGAAGTGGAAGTCTATGACTGATGAAGTAAGTTTAAAATAATTTGTGTTTTGGTTCAAGTGTTTCTTTAGCTGTTTAATAATGTGATGTTGATCAAGTATCATGGTATTGCATCAATGGTTCAGGAGAAGAAACCTTATTTCGATAAGTTTGTTGAACGCAAGGCAGAATACGAGAAGGCTATGGAAAGTTATAATGCTGCTGAAGATGAAGTATAATTTTCTTGCTTCCAAGCTTGCTTTATATTAATTGTTTGTTGTGCTCTCTTCTAAAGCTGTTGTTTTTTCTCAGGATCAAGAGGGGTCTGATAAGGAAGCCACTCCGGGAGAAGTAGAAGAGATAACTGATGAGGAGTAGTAGTAGTGGCAATTTGAAGCTTCTTAAACATGGTTACTATTTCGAAAGGGCTACTTAACTGCTTAGTCTAGGGTTGTAAATTTTGGAACATGATTTAGTTGGAATTTTGTATTTAGATGTTATTATTTTAATGGATCTGAAATCCGCGTGCAACATCTTTTTCGTACTATTCTATGCAATATACTGAAATGGTAGTTACATTGTTTTTTTTATAAGAAATGCGTATTTGTGTTGCGTTTTTTTGTCCTCTTACTCGTAACTTCATGCATTGCATTCAGTGGGAAATAATTCACTGGTTTGATTCAAGCTTTCTGGATAAGATTATTTGAGGGCTTTGTAATGTTACTTCCATGCGTGTGTCAGGGTTTTACTGTAATATTTTCCATTGCGCTGACGCACTATAAGTTGTTCAGACTATTTTGATGTAGAGTCTAAAGCACGTTGCAAAATGAGTGCGTGTTTTATTAAAAATAATATTGAATTATAAAATTGAACTTCAGCATTGTGGTCAACCTTAAAAAGAAAGATTCAAATGTAGGGGAGCCTATTCTATGTTGCTCATATAATAACGGTCACAGGACATGAGCATCTATTATGACGATTGAGTCAGCACCTCACTGACCCATCCTCTCTTGTTCCTTTCCCTTGCATGGCGGTAAAGGTTTGCCACATAAGCACAAGTTGTGGGCATAAGCAACTGGTGGAAAGATGTTGAATGGTCTAGTTTGTGGTATTTCTCCACATAGCCTGTTTGCCCTGAAGCTTGCATGCTTTAGATTAGTGATCTGTGACAAGCTACCTGGAATTTGTCCCGAAAGTCCATTTATGGATACGTCAAGCCATTGAAGCTTCAGCAACTGACCCAGGCTTGAAGGGATGGTTCCCAATATGTGATTCCTTGAAATGTCCAATCTCTCAAGTACCTCCAAGTTTGAGATGGAAACTGGGATTGGACCTGAAATTTTGTTGCTCCCCAAGTTTAGCACCTTCAAGCTTGAGCCTTCCACAAATTCTGGAATGTGACCTGAAATGAAATTGTTTGATAGATCTATAACCTCCAAAGAGCTGCTTGTCTTGTTATTTATGATTGTTGACAGTGAACCTCCGAGTAGATTTGCATGCAAGTCTATGGAAGACAACCCGTCTGGCAATTTGATTTCAGAAATGTCAAACCTCAACTGATTGTTTGAGAGCTTGACCTTTTGCAAACTGGACATATTTGTGAAGAAATTTGGAATACCATCAACCAGGTAGTTATCTGATAGGTCTATGGAGCTCAAAGAGTCTGGTCTGATGAAGTGTGGAAGATCTCCCTTCAATTTGCACCCGGCTAGATGGACATCTTTAAGTGGCTTGCTTCTGATCCAATCAGGAACACTTCCCAGGCTGAGATTATTGTATGACAGGTCTATGGACAAAAGGGAAGGGATGCCCTTGCTTGGGATATCTTGTAAGGGATCTAAAATCCCATTTCTCGATACATTAAGGTACCAAAGCTTCTGTAATCTTGATATGGACAGTGGAATATGCCCTGTGAGCTGATTACCACTGAGTTGAAGACTTGTTAGTGATTTCAGACTCCCAATCTGATCTGGGATGTTCCCTGTGAGCTTGTTATGGCTCAAGGACAAGTCTAAAAGATTGATAAGGCTGAACAAGGAAATTGGAATTTTCCCTGTTAGCAGGTTATAGGATAGGTCTATAAAAGTCAAATTTTTGAACTCCCCAACAAAATCCGGGATTGACCCAGATAATAAATTGTAGCCGAGATCAAGGTATTGCAAATTTCGAAGGGTTTTAAAACAGAGGGGGATAGGACCTGCCAGAAAATTTCTTGCTAAATTAATTTGGATAAGGTTTTTAAGATTCCCTAGTGTTAAAGGGATCTGCCCTTTCAGATGGTTCCCACTCAGTGAAAGGGTCTGAAGCAAAGATAAACGACCTAAACTTGGAGGAATGTACCCTCCAAGAGAATTGTCTTCCAGAACTAGCTGGGTGAGGTGTGTTAAATTTGAGAAGCTATCAGGAATTGCACCTGTAATATGCTTCATCCCACTTATGACCATTACCTCCAAGAAAAGCAAATTTCCCAGTGAAGGAGACAAAGTACCCTTCATATAAGTGCCACTATCTCTGTCAGGCCTCTGTATCAGCAACGCATTAACTCGCCCTGTGGATGGATTGCATTGAACTCCTTCCCAGCCTCCATCGCAGCAGTCTCTGCCTGTCCACGAAGCTAGAGTATCTGTTGTGTCCTGCAAAATGCTTGCTTTGAAGCTCAGAAGAGAAGCTCTGTCTTCTTCTGAACATATTGGAGCCTGTGGTGGTGAGGATATCTGTGCTACACTTTCTGAGAAGTGACTGAGTAGTGAAAATATCAGAACAAGGTTTAAAACCCAAAACCAAAATTGCATTTTGGAAGCTGGGTCTTGATCAGATCACGGTTTGCTATGAAGTTGGGATCTGACAAGAGAACTTTGAGTAAGATAGAAATTTGAAAAAAAATGATGAACTATAATTTAGTAAGAAAAAAGGTAGAAAAAGTACCACTCTGGCATTGGTTTATTTATTCTATTTTTTCACCAAGACAAAGAAGGAATGATGATGATAAAGATGGTGAAATATGAGAAGTGTGTCTCAATTATTATTTTGTTGGAGATATGCTTGCATGATTCGAGCATTCTCTTATTTATAGTTACAGAAGAAAAAAGCTTCTTAATGAAAGGTAAAGAAATTTTTGTGAGGCCTTGGATCAATTTAAAGAAGTTCACATGGAAATTTGTGACCGTTTGATGGATCACGAGGATCCTTGGTAAATTTGAACGTTGGAGCGCACTAGATTCAAATTCTTTCATGTGTCATATTTTTTATAAAATTCACCTTCAACCTATTATACCGTCCACAAGTTTCATGCTAAGGATTACTATCATTTTTTTTTCTTGTCTGGCTTGCAGAATATAAACACTTTTTTTAAATGGATGATGAATGAACACTAATTAAGTTTTCGTTGTTACTTTGTGCGGGTGAACCTTAACCTCAGCCAGAGATTGTTCTCTTCTCTGTACCCCTGAGAATATGTACGAAATTCTTTTTAGTCTATGGCAATAAAAAAAAGATTAAATTGGCCCCTAACAGAATGTAAAAAGGACCACGTTAGTGACAGAAGAGTTGACATAAGGACAAATGTGGCCCTTTTTTCGTAATTTTAAGGACTAATTTGGTCTTTTTTTATTGCCAGAGACTAAAAAGAATTTCATAGATATTGTCAGGGACCAAAAAAGGTATTTACTCTTTTTTTTTTTTTTTTTTTTGATTTTCTTGAAGTTCTATTTTAGTAGTTTTTGAAGAAATTCTCAATTTTTATAAAGGAAGATTAAAAATAAGTGTTTGTGAAGTTTTTAAACGGCAGGAAGAGAAAAATAAATAAATAAAAAATCAAATAAAGTTGAATGGCCCACAATAAACCCATCGGAGGGACAATATATAAGATGTTTGGTGCGCCTGACTCTATCTTTGAATGGCCAACTTTTTATACTAATATTGCATTTAAATATGGGAAAATGGGTTGCTTATTTTATTAGGGGATTTAAAATCACTGTATATAAAAATATTCAAGTATTTTCCGTTATTATTATTTTAAAATATATCTATTGAATAAATTCATTCTTTGCAGATTTTCCTGAATAATTAATTGTTTTATGATCATTTAAGGATCTTTCGAAGTAATGGCATAGGAAAACGAACATGTCAAAACTTTCATGCACATTTTTTTATTTATTTATAAAATACATGTATTTTTCATAAAAGATAATTTTGTTCAAATATAAAATATTCATATCATGACGAGACTACTTCTCTAAAGTAAATTTTTTCATTCATAAATATTTGAATTCAAGACCTTTTTCATAGGAGTTAGTTATCATTAATAGAAGAGAGAGAAATAAACCTGCACATCACCTTGAGTAAAAAACTCAGCATTAAGATTTGAGATAAAGCTAAGTAGCTATCTTACAATAACATGGATATTAAATTTAGTGTGAATATTTGATAAATGGTATCAATTGATAGTATTTCTATTGATTTAAAACTGTACATCAATGTATCTTAAATAGAATAGGCTGTTACGGCTGTTACCAAACAGTCTGTTACCAAATAATAAAACAACTTCCTAAAGATAAATAACTACACCTAATTACAATAGGACTCAGTTATACATATCCTAACAAACTACAGGTTACAACATATCACAGCAAATCATAACAACATATAGAATCTTCTATTCCAACACTCCCCCTCAAGTTGGAGCATGAAGACATGAACTGCCTAACTTGGAAAGAACGGCAAGAAATGGAACACGACCAAGTGCTTTGGTGAAAATGTCTGCGAGTTGCAAATGAGAACGAACAAAAGTAGTTCGAATCGTCTTAGAAACCAACCTTTCCCGGACAAAATGGCAATCAATTTCAATGTGTTTAGTTCGCTCATGGAACACAGGATTTGCCGCGATATGTATAGCGGCTTGATTATCACAACATAATTCCATAGGATCATCATGGATAACATCAAGTGAAGCAAGAAAAGACTTCAACCATATCAATTCTGCTGTCGCGGCAGCCATGGAGCGGTACTCAGCCTCTGCTGAGGAGCGTGAGACAGTGAGTTGCTTCTTTGTTTTCCAAGAAACAGGTGAGGTTCCAAGCATAATGAAGAACCCAGAAACTGACCGGCGAGTTAAAGGGCAGCTGGCCCAATCTGAATCACAGAAAGCATGAATTTTGAGATCACTTTTGGAAGAAAGGAGGATACCTTGGCCAGGATTCATTTTGATGTATCTTAGTACCCGAATGGCAGCCTCATAATGTGCTTCCTTTGGAGCTTGCATGAACTGTGAAAGAGTGTGCACTACATAACTCAAATCAGGACGAGTGATCGTAAGGTACACTAGCTTGCCGACAATTCTTCTATAGCGACCTGGATCATCATAGTCAGGTCCATCTGCCAGAGCTAAGCGATGATTCTGTTCAATTGGAAACTGAACCGGTTTACAATCCAACAAACCTGTTTCTTTGAGGATATCTAATGCATATTTTCGTTGGCACAAGAAGATACCCTCATTGCTACGGGCAACCTCGATGCCCAAAAAATATTTCAAGTGACCCAAATCTTTAATTTTAAAACACTTGTTAAGATAAATCTTAACCTCTTGACATGCTTGGGAATCATTGCCTGCCAACACCAAATCATCAACATAGACTAGTATGGTCAAGAAGGTAGAACCACGCTTCAAAGTGAACAAAGTGTGATCTGCTTCGGATTGAACAAAACCGTATTTAATAAGTGAGGAACTCAACTTTGCAAACCAATTCCTGGGAGATTGTCGTAAGCCATATAACGACCTTTGCAAACGACACACTTTTCTTCCTTGTCCTTGATTAAAGCCTGTCAGTATGCGCATATACACTTCTTCGTCCAGTTCTCCATTAAGAAACGCATTATGAACATCCATTTGGTGCAAGTACCAACCTTTTGCAGCTGCAACCGAGAGTAGAGTTCTAACACTCACCATTTTCGCTACAGGAGCGTAAGTTTCATGGAAATCTTCTCCTGGAACTTGATGATTACCTGCAATTACCAACCTTGCTTTGTAGCGCTCGATGCTACCATTGGAATGATATTTAATTTTATATACCCATTTACATGGAAGGGCATGTTTGCCTGCAGGTAAATCAGTGATAGTCCACGTATTATTTTCTTCTAGTGCATGTATCTCCTGAGCCATAGCTTTACGCCAAACATCATTGGTCATTGCTTCTTTAAATGACCGAGGTTCACTACCTGCATCAATAGCAGCAACAAAAACTCGATGTTTTGAAGAAAAATTGTTAGTATTCACATAGTTGGCAATTGGATACCGTATACCTGAGGTGGAGCTAGAAGAGGTGAGACTGGGAGTGTATGTATGTGCCTCAATCAGATTACATTTGTAGTTACTCAAATAGGACGGAGGCCTTCGTGTGCGTGCTGGACGAAGAGAATCGTTTTGAGCTGATTCTGCACTTCTTTGCACAAGTTCGTGAGCTGAATCTTCATTCCTTTGTACGAGAGCAGGAGCTGGATCCTCACTCCTTTGCACTTGATCAGCATTTGATGTAGAATCTTCATTCGGCTCCCTTTCAGACTGATGGACACTCCCCCTATCTTCCAACTGCACTTCTGCCTCACAATCATTTGAAGTTGATTGAGATACTGGATTGGCAGAATCATTAGAATCTATTGGTATAAATGTAGGTAATGATGGGCTAGGTGTAGGCACACTTATAGCAACAAAAGGAAACTCATCTTCGTGGAAACTGACATCTCGTGACACAAAGAATTCCTTAGTATTAAGATCATACACTCTCCAACCTTTCTGCCCATGAGGATAACCAACAAACATACACCGCCTAGACCGTGGACTAAATTTGTTTGTAGGTTTTGGTTGTGTCACCGCATAACATAGGCAGCCAAATATCCTTAAGTGACTGTAATCAGCAACAGATCCATGCAAAAGCTCATAAGGAGTTTTGCCATTGAGAAGCTTTGTGGGAGTTCTATTAATAATATGAGCTGCTGTCATCACACTCTCTCCCCAGAATTTGATTGGCAAGTTTGCTTGAAACAAAAGAGCACGAGACACATTTAGAATATGCCTATGCTTCCGTTCTACCCGACCGTTCTGTTGCGGCGTATGAACACAGGATTTCTGATGAAATATACCATTGGCAGTGAATAATTCAATCATCTTGTTGGAAGTAAATTCAGTTCCATTATCTGATCTAATACTCTTAACTGTTGTATTAAACTGATTTTGCACCATTAAAAGAAATTTTCGTAACACACCAAAAGTTTCACTTTTGTCACCTATCAAACAAACCCAAACAGCACGACTGAAGTCATCGACTATCGTTAAAAAATAATAAGCACCAGAGAAAGAGGAAGTGCGGTAAGGACCCCATGTATCACAATGAAGAAGATCAAAAATTTTATTACTCTTTCGATCACTAATGGGAAACGATGATCGATTTTGTTTGGCACGATAACAAATATCGCATGCCTTATTGTTTACATTAAATCGAATGCTACTAGAAAACGGAATCAGAGAAACTCAGTTATACATATCCTAACAAACTACAGATTACAACATATCACAGCAAATCATAACAACATATAGAATCTTCTATTCCAACAATATTCTAAGTGTGGTTTGGTGCATGATAATGATAATTTGATACCCATATGCTTAAAGCAATTTAAGAACTCCTCTTATTGGCTTACGCAGGGTGAATGAGTCAGTAACGTAATAATGTTATTGCTGATTTTGCTTTCCAGGGGAGTTTTCTGAAGTATGCGGGGCCTGTTGTAGGCGTGGGTATATGACAACTGTAAGCACAGTGATTCATGAAACCGTAGATGTGACAGCAAAAGGAATTTAGCTACATTATTTGGTGTATTCCTTTTCAATAAATAACATGGAGTATTTATTTTTCTGAAAGCAGGATGAATGTTGACCTTTTCCTTGTGGGTAAGCATGTTTAGCTTGCTTCCTTTATAGCAAAACATTGTCGCTGTTTATCATTTCAATGTAATTA